TCTAACTGGTGCAAGATATACAGCGCAGTGTCTATGGTGCAACAGATCGGTTGCAAGCTACGTGGCGCAAATGTACGTGGTGCAAGCAGCGTGGCGCAATCTCGAGGGCAACGCATGTGGTGCAATCTGCGCGGTGCAATTCACCCTGCCGATGCTGTCAACCCCACTGCTCTCACAAGCATCCCACCCACCCACCCGCAACTTGGTTTGCAAAACATTGCGACTACGATAGCGCTGATTGCTTGGCCCTGGTTGGCACACCGCTGCGGCCGCGCTAGCGCCCGCAGGCTCGCGCGCACAGCGGCCAGCTAGTCTGGCGCGACCAACGCGGCCGCGGTGGCGCTGACCGCCGGGGGCTTCCCAGCGCCTTTCGCAGGTAGCGCTGGCGCGCGGGCACTCGAGTGCGAGTCGGTGACCCTGGCGGGCTCGGTATCATAAAAGCGTCGACAACGGCAAATGCGATGGTGGTATTAGGTGGCGATGCTGGCGACGATGATGACAATGAGGACGACAAGGCCAATGACAGCGCATATGCTGATCACGCCGATGATGGTGATGGTGTCCGCGTGTCGGCGGTGAGCTCTTTGGAAAAATTTCGGCATGCGCGCGCGGCCGACGCGCGGGAGTGGCTACATGGCGTTGTTGCTATGGCCTTGCGGCCGGTGGCGCCGACCCCGGAGGCCTCGGCCTTCGACGGAGAAATGGGAGGGCGAGGGCGGGCCAATGGGCCCCGGGGGGGTGGTATTCAGTTTTGACCCGGGACCACCCCCCGGGAGCCCCCCCCGAGACCACCCCCCCGGGCCCCCCCCCTTTTCCGCGGTGAAGGGATCAAAGGGAAGGGACTTCCCTTCAACTCAATGACAACGTTGCTCAGTGTCGCTGTGTGGACGGGCTGGTGTATTTCACGGTGGCCGGCGTGCTTGATTGAGGACGGGGCCCACGGAAAGCGGGGGAGCGGCGACGGACTCAGAAGAAGGAGGGGACATGCTGGCGGCGGCGACGCGACGGCGGCAGCGACGGCGATGGCGACGGAACAGCCCCTGCCACACGCCGACAGGGTCGGCGGATTTGACGGGGATCGTGCCCCCCACCCCCCACCCCAGCACGCGCGCAATTGCGCTCGAATGATTGCGACATGTGCGCACGAGGGAAGCCCGTTTTGATTGCATGTTAAGAACATGTTGAAAATGTGATATTTTTCTTTGGATCTGCAAGAGCTCGCGCGCAGACCTCCGTCTTGAACAGAAAACGTTACTAAACGATTGCGTTTTATATGGCTTCGCGACATTCGATCTTGAATGTCTTACGAAAACCTAGGGTTGTGGAAGGATTTCGGCATGCGCGCGCGCGACGACGCGCGCGTGTGGACTTTGCCCCATGTGTTGCCAGGGAGTTGTGAAAACTGCTGGCTTTTGATAAACGACTGCGACGATGACGGGGGGGCTACCGGTTTGGTTCGGATGATTTGAGTTCGTGTTTAGCATTCACGATGGGGCGACGTCAGATTCAAGTTGCAATACGCGAGGCCGACGTGATAAGCCCGAGGGGGGGGGTACAGGAGCGGCGTAATCGGGCGGCGGTGGGCGCGAGGGTTCACGCAGCACCCTCCCCTTTGGGGGCATCCGCAGCGCGTCGTCGTCGACGACTACGCCGGGCCCACGCAGCAGCCCAGCTCCCCCCGTTTGTCGGGAGCGCTCACAGCGCGTCGTCGTCGTCGGCGTCGGTGTTGGCGTCGTCGTCGTCGTCGTCTTCGTCGTCGTCGTCGTCGTCGCCGAAGTCTGCAGCGACGAAGGGTCGCCTGCCTCTCCGACGGTCGTGAGCGTGACCCCCTCGTGCGAGGCGCCACCGGACGCAGACGAGGTCTCTGCGAAGATGCGGGCACGGACAATCGGAGGAGGGCGGGCTACCGCAGAACAACCAAGAGACAAAACAAAACAGAGCATGAAATGAACATAACGACAAAGAAACCAACAAAAAGAAACACCAACAAAACAACAGCACTAAAATTATCCTGACGAAGGACCCAACCATATGCAGTTGTGAATGCCGCAATTGTGAATACCATCTTCGCCTGCGCTCCCTATGTGGCCACGGCTTCCCGCCGGAGCCCGACATGCTCAGGGACACGTTCGCGGCCATCTTCGCGGGCGCCGACGACGACAAGGACGGCGCCCCTCTCACCGAGGAACAGAAGCAGGAGAGGGCCTTGAGAGCCATGAGGGAGGAGGTGGCGTTGCACGTCGACAAGGCGGAATACGACGCCCATGCGCGGCTGTTGAAGCAGCACAACTATGGGGCCACGGTCCTCGGGAGGGATGTGCCGCAATGGCCCGGGGCCGCCATGCGAACCTTGCCATTGGCGCCTTCGGTGGAGCTCCCTATGGGGCCACGATCCTCGTGAGGGGTGTGCCGAAATTGCCCGAGGCCGCCATGCGAACCCTGCCACTGGGGCCTTCGGTGGAGCTCCCCATGGGGCCACGATCCTCGCGAGGGGTGTGCCGAAATGGCCCGAGGCCGCCATGCGAACCCTGCCATTGGCGCCTTCGGTGGAGCTCCCTCTGTGGCCACGATCCTCGTGAGGGGTGTGCCGAAATGGCCCGAGGCCGCCATGCGGACCCTGCCACGGGAGCCTTCGGTGGAGCTCCGTATGGGGCCACGATCCTCGCGAGGGGTGTGCCGAAATGGCCCGAGGCCGCCGTGCGAACCCTGCCTCACGATCCTCGTGAGGGGTGTGCCGAAATTGCCCGAGGCCGCCATGCGAACCCTGCCACTGGAGCCTTCGGTGGAGCTCCCTATGGGGCCACGATCCTCGTGAGGGGTGTGCCGAAATGGCCCGACGCCGCCATGCGAACCCTGCCACTGACGCCTTCGGTGGAGCTCCCTCTGTGGCCACGATCTTCGTGAGGGGTGTGCCGAAATGGCCCGAGGCCGCCATGCGGACCCTGCAATTGGCGCCTTCGGTGGAGCTCCCTATGGGGCCACGATCCTCGTGAGGGGTGTGCCGAAATGGCCCGAGGCCGCCATGCGAACCCTGCCACCGGGGGCCTTCGGTGGAGCTCCCTACGGGGCCACGATCCTCGAGAGGGGTGTGCCGAAATTGCCAGAGGCCGCCATGCGAACCCTGCCATTGGGGGCCTTCGGTGGAGCTCCAGTGGGGCCACGATCCTCGTGAGGGGTGTGCCGAAATGGCCCGAGGCCGCCATGCGAACCCTGCCTCACGATCCTCGTGAGGGGTGTGCCGAAATTGCCCGAGGCCGCCATGCGAACCCTGCCACTGGAGCCTTCGGTGGAGCTCCCTATGGGGCCACGATCCTCGTGAGGGGTGTGCCGAAATGGCCCGACGCCGCCATGCGAACCCTGCCATTGGCGCCCTCGGTGGAGCTCCCTATGGGGCCACGATCTTCGTGAGGGGTGTGCCGAAATGGCCCGAGGCCGCCATGCGAACCCTGCCAGTGGGGCCTTCGGTGGAGCTCCGTATGGGGCTACGAAACGCTGTACTGGGTGGGTGAAACGCATGGAGGAGGGGGAGGAGGAGCGGGAGCGGCGGGAACGCGGGGCACCGTCTCTTCAAAACGAGGACCCAACACCACAGGATGGTTGGGAAAAAGATTCACACACACACACATACACACACATACACACACACACACACACACACACACACACACACACACACACACACACACACACGCGCGCGCAAAAAAAAAAAAAAAAAAACGCGGAGGAAGGGACGTCAGAGGAGGGCAAGGTAAGACAGCGGCAACTGGCCTTCAAGGGGGCGGGGGGGAAGGCTCGCCGCCACGGCCAGACGCGGCTCGGAAGACGCTGGTTCCTGGAGGAGAAGCAAAGTTGGCATCGCTAGCCCCCTGCTCGATGGAAGTCCTGGAGGACTTGCTCGAGGAAACCACGTCCTCCCTCCCAACGATTGCCTCCTCCTCGACCTCCTCCTCCTCCTCCTCCTCAACCCCCTCCTCCCCCTCCTCCTCCTCCTCCTCCTCCTCCTCCCCCTCCTCCTCCTCCTCCTCCCCTCCTCCTCAACCTCCTCCTCCCCCTCCTCCTCATCCTCATCCATCCTCCTCCTCTGCTCCTCCCTCCTCCTCCTCCTCCTCCTCCTCCTCCTCCTCCTCCTCCTCCTCCTCCTCCTCCTCCTCCTCCTCCTCCTCCTCCTCCTCCTCCTCCTCCTCCTCCTCCTCCTCCTCCTCCTCCTCCCAGGACAACCCTTACATGTGGTGCCCTCCGTCCCTCTGAGGAGGGCCGGGGGGAGGGGGGGGAGAACCGGGCGAGGAGAGGCGCGGCGCACGAGAGGGCGGAGGGCGACCCCGCGGGCCTCGGGAGGCCGAGCAGCTCTTTCCCCGCACTTCTTGGCCCCAGGGTGGCCATCCTCTTCTTCCTTCCCCTCCTTTTTCCCCTCCCCCTCCTCTTCTTCCCCTCCTCCTCCCCTTCTTCCTGCGTTTGTTCCTCCCCTCCCCTCCTCTTCTTCTACCCCTCCTCCTCCTCCTCTTCCGCCTCCTCCTCCTCCTCCTCATCCTCCTCATGGTCCCGCCCTCCCCCTCCTCTTCTTCCTGCGTGTCCCCGCTCGGGCGACGGTGATGCGGGCTGCACTTCGCTTCCGCCACCCCTGCCTGGTGCAGTGCCCAAACAAAGGGAGGAGAGCGGACTGACTCGTGCGCTTGGACTCTGGGAGGGGTCCGAGGACCGATGTTGGTCTGCCGTTGTCTCAACATGCCTTGCTCCGAGACAAGGTGGAGAAACGTCCGAACAGATGCAGATATTTCGCGAACGTCTGGGTGGCATGAGGTGAGATGCTGCGATGATGTTAGAAAAAAGGCTAGCCCATTTTGTGCGAGAGAAGAGCTTCTGCGCTGTTCCAGCCCTCACCACTCTGGCCTCCCGTACCCCATCCTCGGACACCCTTTTGAATCGTTCTGAATAGCCACCTTGGCCCAAGCAATCAGTGCACAAACATGTACGTGTCCTTGTCGGTGTACTTCAAAGGTAGCATGTTTGCACGACTTCTGCTGTCCCTGGTCGCGTCCTCCGCGGCGTTGCATCAGCACCTGGGCGAGCAGCTGGCTCAGCATGGCAACTCCTACGACCTCGCCACCGTGCACGTCGCGTACGCGACGACGCCCGACGGTTTCCCTGGGCTGCTCCACAGCATGATCTCGGTCGCCCGCAATTTCCAAGGGGACCTTTGCCACATCCACGTGATCGTCGCGGAGGACCATACCGTGCAGGCCAACGAAGTGTTGACGTGCTTCAGGCGCGATGTGGCGAACCTCTCGTTCGTCACCAAGGCAACCCTGCACGTCATGCCGGCCCTGCCCTGGGAGATGGGGGGGGGGGGGGGGCGAGGCTTGGCACTTGTGCGCCAGCATGGCCGGAAGAGTAGAAGGGAGGACGAGGGGAGGAGGAGATGTGGGAGGAGGAGGAGGAGGAGGAGGAGGAGGGAGGGAGGAGAGGAGGAGGAGGAGGAGAGGAGGAGGAGGAGGGAGGAGAGGAGGGAGGAATGAGGAGAGAAAAGAGGGAGGAGGAGGGGGAGGAAGGAAGAGAAAGGAGGAGGGAGGGGAAAGAGGAGGAGGAGGAGGAGCGGAGCAGGCGAGGAGGGGGAGGCAGGAGCAGAGCAGGAGCAGGAGAAGGAGGGGGAGGAGAGGAGGAGGAGGAAGAGGTGAGGAGGGAGGAGAGGGGAGAGGAGGAGGGAAGAGGGGGCGGAGGAGGAAGGAGGAGAGGAGGAGGAGGAGGAGGGGGAGGGAGGAGAGGGGGAGGAGGAGGTCTTCAAAAGGAAGGACAATTGCACAAGCAAAATTTGTCGGAGGATCGCGCGGATTTCTTGGATCGGCGCTTGACTCCGCTGCCTGGCTCCGCGCCGCCCCTGGCGCGCTCCGCGCGCCAGGGAGGGGGGTCCAGCGCCGATCCAAGAAATCCGCGCGGACCTCCAAAACATTATATGTAAACAGTTGTTCTTATTGCGGAGAAGGAGGAAGAGGAGGAGGAGGAGGAGGAGGAGGAAGAGGAGGGATTTTTCAACATCAACAGCAACTGCCACCAGCAAGACAGCACTGTAGTGATTTAAATCTCGTGTGCTGAGCAGAGGTTAAAGGAGCCTCT